AACAAGCTCCTATACAACCTCTTATAGCGATAACATATAAAAATTATCAAAGATTATATAAGACCTTTGATGCTAAACGAAAATATTATGTTCCAACTGTAACTAAAATGCTTACAATGCTTGCAAATGGAATCAATCAACAAATGACAAAAGACCGTGATGCCATTAAAAAGTATAAGGCCATGAAAGAACGTTGGGATACCATTCTTGATGGTGTTGCAGAAGTACAACATGATATGCCAGGAATAGAAGCGTTGCTGGATCATTCGCTTGTATCTAGTAATTCACCACCTTCATCAATACCCTCATCCATAGCATCTTCACCACCAATGTCCCCAAACATGAAACCACACAGAGGACTATTTTCTCCTGAATCTGGTTCCCCTCCGACAAAAGGACAAAGATCTTTATCACCACACAGAATCGATTATCTCGACTCACCACGAAATGCTAGATCACCATCTTTACGGTCAAAATCACCGTCGCCTCGAGCTACGAGTCCGTTAGGAGGTGGTCGTAATTATTTGTCATCTGGTCGTTCCATTAGTCCTACACCGGAAAGACCACCATGGACTACATATTACAATCAAACATATAATTACAATAATTACAATAATAGTCATCATAATACATCACCTTTGCAAGTAAATGGAAGATCATCAAGTCGTTCAGGATCTCCGGTAAGATCACCTTTGACTCGGGCAATGTCTCCAGAACGAGTAAATCCATCCAACATACCACGCCCAGTTACTAGTATGGGAATTATTAATAGGGCGCCATCGCGTGTTGGTATGAGATCATTTTTGCCGCAACCTAGCACACCTCAACCGGGTATGGTGTCGTCAACCCGCCTGGGTATGATTTCTCCACCACCGTTGCGTCGCCATCATCAAATAAGAACTCCAACGCCATCATCTATAACAAACTATTCTCGACCTATCACTCCAGAGAATGATGATCGTCCAAATACACCATTAACCGAAAGATTGTCAAATATGTCCGTAGCCAATGATCACAATTCAAATTATATCCCTCTCAAAAATGATCAACTTGACATTGAAGTTGCGAAAATAGTAAATTCATTGCCACTGAATGTAAAAGTAGAACGTGCTCCCGGTGGTGGTGGCAAGTATTATTTCGGTCGTGAAAAAAAAGTATTTAGTTGCAAATTAGTGAATTACGCTTCAAGTAATCGAAACAAGGTTATTGTTCGAGTGGGTGGCGGTTCCCAGGATTTGGATATGTTTTTATTAGAACATAGTCTTACTAGCGTGAGATAAATAAGATATTAAAAATAAAAAATGGGTCGGAAATTTACTTGCATGAATCCTTTTTATATGGATATAAGTATGTCACGCATATATATAGATAGAAGAGATATTTACTATTAAGCATTGCATTGTTACTAAATATTAATTTATTCAGTATATCTTTGTAGCTGTCACTATTGTCATCCTTATCACTCATCATTTAGTGGTATTGAACCAGTCAGTCAGTCTTTTTTTTTTTTTTTTTTTTTTTGTATATATATAGACATTTATGTTTTTTTCTATATTAACTATTTTGTGATTTTCATCAACAAAATTGGTTTAACCTCTTGCGACATACTTATAATATAAATTCCATTAAAAAAAAAAAAAAAATACACAATATATATTGAACGTAAACTTATTAAATCATGAAAATTGGATTTATCACAATATCAGATTCCCGAAAATTGACATTTCACGAGATGCGACATCTAAAGTCCGCTCGCGCGGGATTTTTAATATGATCTCATATGGATGTTGTAATTATGATTACTTGTGACGGATTAATTTTAAAAATTTTTGTGATACATTTTTTTAGGGTTAGGATGTAGGATCAGG